ACTGTCAGTGAGACCTCGAAGAGCGTACCTCCTCTAGCGTCCTCCACGGTAGTAGTCGTGATGAAGTGTGGACGTTTTACATTTCCAGACATTTCCTTGGTGATTAAGTCGGAATCATCAGTAAGTCTTGCTATTCTTAGCCCCAGACCACAGCTTATCGAGGAAAAAAGCGAAATACATCCCTTGACCAATTAACAGACAGGGAGTTCTGGGAAATAGAATAAAACTAATTGGCCCAGGTCTCGCTCCGTAACCGATAAATCCTAGAGTCATACAAAGAAATATAGAGGTCGTAAGATGCAAAGGCAAGATGATGATTATGAAAAGAATATGAAAAGTCAAAAAGTCTCACAAAAGTGGATATGTCAATCTCCCTGCTAAGTGAGTAGGAAGCTACAGGCCTTAGTAAGTAAATGGGATATTCGGATTATCACAAAGAATAGTAGAAAAATCTTCAAAAACTTACGTACGCAGCATGAGAAGGTGGACAAATTGGGTTGTTTGGGAGTTTATTGCATAACATGCTACGAAGTTGAGCAAATATTTTGATGAAACAAAAAGAAAAATCTACCTTTAGACCCAGAAACCTCGAAGTCTCTACGAAATCATAGATATGGAGAAATCAAAACTGGCGTACGGAACACAAGATCGACTTGAATACAACAAAAAGTACGCCGAGTATTGTGAAAATACACGGTAGCAAAGATTTAGTGAGGTCATTCGTATCCATGATTAGCAAAATCAAATGAAAAGAAGATTGAACTAATGCAGAAATACAGAAAAACTTTGTTATTGCTTACGCAAACCGCGAGAAAAATTGGAATCACCATGATCAGCAAAATGGCACGACCAGATCAAGTTTCTATTTTAAATAAGTAGGAAAAGGTTTGCAAGTGGAAGTAGGAAATCAAGAAAAGACATTTGCTTTTAGCATAGTCAGACAAGGGAAACAGCTCTGTAATTTAGGGATAATGGCAACTATTGAAGAATTTTGGCACTATGGATAGAAGAACAAGCCCAGTTTGTACGGAAATCCACTCGAGAGACGCTGAGATTATTAGTGGCATAAACCCTTAATTGTTTTACATTGCACGATTAAAGTAAGGAAGTTGTCCATAAATCAGAAGTCTGAACACGGCATTTATCATCATAGTACATATGCTGAGCCTAGCTAGATAGAAAAATAGGGCTAACTTGGTTTATAGAAAATGACAGGAAGTAAAGCCAAGAGTATAGTGGATACGATGGCAGGTGCCAAGTGAATTCAGTGAATAAGTGAGATAAGAAACAGATCTTCGAGAGAACGAGAGGAATTCTGATAAGAGTTGGATTCACAGTAGTTGGAAGACTGACAGGTTAAAGGTGAATCAGCACCTTTGTTATTCGAGGTGGACAGAAAGCCAGATGAGAGTCAGATAGCACCCAACTAAATCCGCTCAAAACAGGGCGCTTCTGGAGTTGTTCAGAGTAAACAAGTCTTTTTGTGAAAGAATGGGAGCGAGATGTGGGCACATAGTCCAAGCTAATGTATCAGAATAGAAGGAGAAGATAAATCAAAATCTTTTAACAGAAATTCGAGTTTGGGATGGATTTATTTTATCTCTTCGAAGAATAGTATATTTGTGTCAGCGATGTCTCGAAATATATTCACATGAAAAAAGTTGAGGTAATGTTTAAAGGATAAAAATCCAAAGTCTAACACAGTTGGTGCATGTTCCTGTTTCCAACAATAAATAATGTAGCATTCACATATCGTCAGCAAAAGTGAACAACTGCTAAAACCAAGGCCCGGCTTAGATACCAAAAATCCTAGCATCTCGCAGTTTTTCCCTCCAGTTTACTGAAAGAATAAAATCGATGGTATTATTGTTGAATTATTGTTTCCATTAAAGATGTAGAATGTATCAAGCTTCATTTCTCTATGCGCGACAACTTAAAGTAAATTAAGGACGCAAAACAGTTATTAATGCTAAAATCTTAAGGTTACACAGAAATATCTAAGCCTAGCTACCAGCGAGATTAGAATATAATGTTATATTTATTGTAAATGAGTGGATCTCAAATATAAGAGTACGGAAATCGCGCACTGGATTTATTCGCTGCTTCTGCCTGCTGGTGGATCTTAATCACCTCGATCGGTACACTAGGCACAAGTTGAACTACACCGGCCACGGCTCCGGAGCAAGCTGTTGCCAATGGTGTATGTTCAGATGCATCAAACATGTTGACGGTAGTCTTGTATGCAGCAAAGGTGATTGCATTCAGGAAACTATAAGAATATAGGGGTAGCAAGAGACCACGGAAGAAACTTCTCTATAGAAGAAAACAAAAAAGTTAAAGCATTTTACTGGGTTTTGTAACCTGACTTACGCACGTACAAGCTTAGATCTCATTATCTCAACCAGAGTTGCGTACGGACTTAAGCAGTCTCAATCGGCGTTTTTCGGGTCATTAAACCTTTATAACCTTGGCCTAGCATTAGGCTTTTAAATCACTCTTATTTAGGACAGGTATTGCCTATAGAAGTTAATACACACTCGGATAAAAGTAAAATTTCCATGACCAATAGAAAGGGGAATCGGCAAATTCATTCTATATCCATCTATGTCTATATATTTTCGTTTTATCTATGAATATATATAGAAAGTAAAGTATAGCCGGACAGTCTTCTTGAACTTGTGCTAACTTGATACGTTTACGAGAGTAAGTTTCAGTTACGATGATTTCCCTTTAATGATGGGAGAAAGCTTATCCCATTTTCGCCAGGAACGAGGGGGGATGCCTCGTATACTTCGTCAAGAATGGGCTGGATACAACAGGACTCGGCCATCGTCTTCAAATGAGATCACCCAACGAATTTCTTTAGTGCATTTTCATACGAAATAAAAGTCTCCCCAACAAGCAATTATGTGCAGTTGCGAGTTTTTAGATTTTGGGAAGAAAAGTTTCGTTTCGAGACTCCCTTGTTTCATAATTATTAAGTTTGCTTCCATTTCGAGTGAAAGTGTTGAGTGAAGAGATTCGAAGGTCAGCAAAGGCTGTTGGGTACAAAAATCGGAGTTTGCTGAGCACAGGGCAGAAACGGGACACAAGATTTAATGGTCTCAAACTTGTCATTTTGCCGATTATGGTATGTTTGCGTCTAAACGTAAAAGTATAGAAGCCATAGAAATAAACCGAATAGGAAATACATTAAATGTAAGGAATACTGGTAAGAAGATCAGTACAAATTACTTGTGCTTAATTAATAGACTGAAGGATAGAGAGGGAGTTGAGCCGCCTGCAAAAAGGAGGCGAGACAACTAATCTTTTTTTGTCTTGGTTCTAAGCATAGTCACTTCTCTGTACTTTTAGCTCACTCTTTCTCTCTCGCATTGAGAGAAAAATATAAAAAAAGGCTACAGATGTGAAGACCAAGATGTTGTGGCCTCGGGTATGGTCGCAGTCTCCTTTCGACTTATAGAAGTGGGTTGACCTCCTTGTCACAACTTGGTCTTGTGTTTCGGGAGATAATGTAGAACGCACCGAGTCCGAAGTCGTCTGCCATAGTAATGCTTAGACTGTGGCGAACGAGTGGATAGACGGTCCGAGTCTCCATACCGAATCCATTACGGTAAATCTGCTCGTTAAATCCATCTAGGCAAATTTATTTAGACCACCAGCTGTAGTGGGTATGATTTAATTAAATGGGGACAGTGATCAGAATATCTACCTTGTTAACCTCTTGTGTGTGGGTAGTATCTGATCCATAAAAGAGCCAAGAGGGCATCGATAATTACCTCATTTATGCCCCAATGACCCGGCTAGGCCAGTTTCTTATTACTTGACCATAAGCATATCGATAAATGACTCAGTTGTTGAGACTAGCCCAAT